AAAAGTTGTGACTTTTCTAACAGGTACGTTTGCTCGAAGAGTTTTGACTTTTCTTGTATGTATTTTATAAATAGTTGTAACCTATAGATACAATACAAGTTTGTACCTATTCTAAATTGCTGTATTTTGATGTATTATACTCCTTCATTGTCTATAAATAGAAACTAGTCCTCACTCTGATGTAAATTATCTTAATGCTTAATTAGTAAAAATAAAAAAGTTCTAAGATTTTGGATGATAATTTTATGTTGACATTATTGATTGCATTTTAAGAATTTTCTAATAGTTATATCATTTTGAGTGAATTATGTGATATTAATGTATTTAAAAAAAAAAAACTGAAGGTATGTAAAAAAAGTCTAGACACAGTTTTAAATTATCAACTCGTATTAAATGACAAATATTATAACTCAATGAAAATCTATCTATTAATAATTATTTCTATGAATAGCTATTTTTATGACGTATATAATCTTATATTATGATATGATTTTGACAAGATTCAACATTTAAAAACACTCACAATCAGTAGAGATAGAAAACTAGGATCCGTTTAGCCCGTTAATTCGAGCTTTTAATTTGAGTTGAGATTTGATTTTATTTGAGAGCTTTTTACTGTAGTAAAAAAGTTAAATGTGACTGTTTTTTATAACTTTTTACTATAACAAAATTTAAATTCTAAACTCAAATCGATAAAATGAACGAGCATTATTTTCTCTCCTTTTTTTTTCCTCTAAAAAGAACATCATGCATGAAGTGAACTTACTAGCTAGGGACGTTTTGCTTGTAGAAGGGCCTATTTATCACATCTTACTTGTCGGTTCAGTGAACGTGGAAATATGTATTTTAACTTGTTATTCATTATTTATAATTTATTCCATTGATCTACTAACGGAGGCAAACAGAGATTCTAACGCAATGAAAAAAAATCCAAGAACATAATGCCATGAAAGAGTCTGACATGATCTCTGGCTAGATAGTACATTACAAATACTTTGCAGGGAGGGGCAAAAAACCAGGTGAAAAAGTCGTACAAATAATTAATTACTTGAGAAAATAGATTGGACTGTATATAGATATATAATCGAACACTAGCCATCTTTCAACCTTTTCTTTTTTTTTTTTTTTTTTTTTTTGGCTCTGAACCACTTTTTACTTTTTTTTCCCCAATGAAACGGATCTTGTTTTTTTTTTTTTTTTTTCCCTTTCAGTTTCACCCTCATCCTTTATTGACACGCAGGTACAATTACGAAGAAAATGGCATGTAATTTTGTGCTGTCACTAGTCAGCGGTTATGTATCACCAAAACCCAAAACTGCTAGCTTGCAAGATCATAAATGAATACGTTAAAGTTGTTCATTTTTTTTTAATGGTTAAAGTACACGACAATCATGCATGAAAGGCGGATTCAGATTCTATTGCCATTGGGGCAAATAGGGTGTTCAGCCATTGAGTTTTAAGATCCCAAAGTCAAAAGGACTCTCTTTGCACTAATAAGACTGAATTTAAGTAGCAAGTACTCTATGTAGAAATGAATTTTCCCCACCAAAAAAAAAAAGAAAAAGAAAAAAAAAAAAGCTAGCTATTTGTGAAGTACATAAATATTTATGCATCGTTCACTTTACGGATTCGAGTTTTTAATTCGAACTGAGATGTGATATTTTGTAAGAACTTTTCACTATAGCAGAAAAAGTTAAACGTGATATTTTCTGAGAGCTTTTTACTGTAAAAACCTAGAACTGAAAACTCGAATCGGTGAAATGAATGAGTACTAATTTATGAATTAAGAATTATGATTCATAATTATTCTTAATTTATGAGTATTTTTTATAATAAAAAAAAACTGTAACAAACTACGAACTATAATTCGAATCATAATACAAATCATCTTACCAAAACAAGTTAATTAAATGAGATCTTTGGGCTATAGCTACGCATATTTGCAATTTTATAACCTTAAAAATTTGCTTTTAAGGTTTGCTACTGAGAAAAAGCTAGCTATAGATATAGGCCACCTGACGAACACATGACTAGTTGAGGCTACTTCCTTAGGGCTTGGCCATATTCAGGAGTGTCAATTCGTGTCACGTATCGTGTTCGTGTCGTGTTTTGATCATTTTTTTAAAATTTTCAGTCAACCCGAACACGACCCGTGACACGAAATTTTTTAAAAACCGCAACACGAACACGACACGACCACTTTACGAGCTGACACGACACGACCCGAAAATGACCCGTGACACGAAATTGACCCGTGAACCCGAAATTGACACGAAAATTGTATACTTTTATTTAGTTTTTTACATATTAAAAATAACTTAAAATTCATAACACACTAAATTACAATAACATCCATTGAAATTAAGCAAATAATAGTATAAGATTTTGAGTATAACTATCATGATATCACAAGTTCATAATAAAATTTAAAATATGAAATGAAAAATATATGTATTTTTTAGTTTTTTACGAGTTTCGTGTCGTGTTCGGGTTAGGCGGGTCCAACCCGAAATTAACCCGTATTTTTCGTGTCAATTTCAGGTCGACCCAATTTTGACCTGAACCTCTTTTTTCTCAACCCTAACCCACAAAATTCGTGTCGTTTTCGAGTCGTGTCGTGACCCATATTGCCGACCCTAGCCATATTTCCACTTCTCTCGGTGACTTCGTCTCATAGCTAGGGGGAAACGGACAAAAAAAAAAAAAAAAAAACCAAAATGAGTTAAACAACGTAGCAAGTGTTTTATATAATAAAAATTGAAAATTTTCAATGCCCAAATCAGTTTTCATTGTTTAATAACTGAGATTTAAACTAAGGGAAAAAAATCAGAAACACCACTTAAGATGATTAAAAATATTTTTTATATCATTTCATTCAAAAATAAACAATTGTAATTTAATTAATAAATAAAAAACAATAGACTGTAATTAGTGATGAAATTAGGAACTAGAGTGTGATTAAATTAAAGTTTTTCTTTAAGGGTGTGATTAAACTAAAATTTTTAATTAAAATAATAATGCGGTAACTTTTTACCACTCAATAACATGCTTTTGGGGCGGTGGGAATATGCATCTATATATATCCTGCCTAAGACCTAGAAAACCATTCATCAATCCCTTGCTCATTACTTAAAGGATACTTGACGTACGTGACCAAAAGAGGTAGTATTAGTTTTACCATATAAAACAAATAAAACATAAACATCCAAAAAGAAAACAAGTAACAAAATAATGTATAGGCTGCAAAAGCACATGCTCGTCACTTGCTAATTACGCTTTTTGAGTATGTAAACCTGCCCAAAAATAAATAAAAGATGTTATGGGGCATGCAAATGGACACATTTTTAGTCGGCAAAACCAAGTGGTACGGCTTCGTTACACGGAATTTCAGTCCCGTGAATTATATATATATATATATATATATATTCATTTACGTATGTATGTATGTATATGTACAGGAGGAGGTCACGGTCTTGGCCTCTCCTTTTTGAGGCAGCTTTTCAAACACAGTTAATTAATTGGTTTTTTTATTTTCTGGCAATATTTGTCTTAACTTCTGTCCACAAGTTGAAGATTTTAGCAGAGGTCATGGCTTAGATCTCATTACAGAAAAACAACATTCATCTCAATTATTGTATGTATACCTGAAATTATTGGGAGAATATATGCAATTATTAAGAGGAATTGAGTGTGATCTTATGAATCTTTTAGATATATATATATATATATATATATAGATTACAATAATTTGTGTAATTGTAAGAGCTGTCTAGGAGGGCAGAACATGATGTGGGATAATACCATGATCAACCCCTTTTGTGAAAACACATGCGTGAATGTTATGGCATCACTATACCTTTTTTGCTTTTGGGTAAAGAGAAAATGACATTACATCACTTACTGGTTGAAGTAGACACAATTGACTAATTTGTTGTTTATTGTTTATTTTCTTATTCTAAACTGAAGAAAGAAAATGCATGGTACCTTTTTACCCTAAAAGAATTGAACAATAAGTTTATTTTTCTTCCCTAGTCTTTTGCACTTTTTAAAAATCTAATATTTGCCATAATTAAGTTCACTCATGTAAGACTCAAAATATTGCATTTATGAAATATGGTTGGATAATAGCACATTGATGATCATATCAGTAAAAATTAAAACATAAAAGTTATGTAAATTATATTGGTAAGGTAATGGAAATTCTACATAAATATGTTCTCTCTCTGTCGAAAACCTATGTACACAATGATATCAATTATTTTATTGTAGTAATTCCTTATATTTATGAGCAGAAACCTCTTTTTTCTCTCTGCTTGAAAGTACTTAGGATTTATTTATTAGGCCTCATTTGTTCTGTTAGTTCGAATCATAACTCAAGTTTTTGTTATAGTATTTTCTTTTATAAAAATTTAAATTCAATTTTTTTTGATACAGTATTTTCTCTCACATGAATTCACTTTTACCATGCTTCTTGAAGAAGAAATAGGTGAGAGTAGTAGTGGCTAATGGCTAATGCCATAGGCCTAGTGGGCTTGTCGGCTTTGAGATCCAATTCCAAACTTATGTGGGGACGCCCTTGGATTCGAGGAATAAATTGCATCTCATTACTTCAGCAAAGAAAAAGCATGCACCAGCACAAGTACGCTAATATGCAAAATAAAAGATGCGCAAAAGGCGAGGGAGAAAAAATAAAGGCAAAAAAAGCTCAACGAAAATGGAAGGGATGGTTTGCGCGCATTTTGAAAGTCATCATTCGCAAAATCAAACCTTTCATACATCGTCATATATAAATGAAACAATTAATTAATTGAATCATTAAGCTTTAAATTTGCCGCGAAAACCACAGGTCAAGGAAAAACAGCTAGCAGTGGTCCTGTTCGAATCCGAGGCTTTCTTTCTCGGCTGATGAATCATGAGTTTTTGGGTCTTAGAGAGCACTGATTGATCTGATTTTCTTTTCGTTTTGTAGAGAAGAAATTTGTGCAGCCTGTCGTTGCCGGTTACCATTTTGAGGAGTCTCGGGAGAGGACGATGCAGGCTGCATGAGAAAAATAACAGCATGTAATAAAAACGACAAATATTTATAAAAACGACAGCAATTGAAAGATGAGAATGACTAGAGAAAAAGACAACCCTAACAACATCAAATGAGAATAGATTGGAAAACGATCATATTTTTGGAAGTGACAATTGAGAGCAAACTAAAAAAGAATGATATAAAAATTGGAATATGGTTGAGGAACTAGGGCTATAGAGTGTAGACCGAAAGTGATTGCACTATATCAATCTAGGTCCCGTTTATTTCACCGATTCGAGTTTAGAATTTGAGTTTTATTACAGTAAAAAGCTCTCAGAAACAGTCACATCTCACTTTTTTACTACAATAAAAGGCTTTCAACAACAGTCACATCTCAACTCGAATCAGCAAACTAAACGGGCCCCTAATGATTTATAGAATGTTAGTTCGGTTCCACATCATAACCGTATGCTAACAATCTGAAATTGGACTTAGACCGTTCAAATAGTGTTCTGGTCTTGTTGTGAAACTTGAGATACTATAATAATCGGAAACCGAACAATTTTAAAATACATATATAAAAAAAACCTGAGAAATATGAAATATAGTATTTATTTGAATTTGGATTATTATTCCTCGTTTAAACATGCTTATCTAATAAAAGTACAAGTTTGAATTAATAAAACGATAATAAGAACAATTGAGATTGTTGATCGTCCTTACTAACCTTCACTATCGGCTTAAAGCAAATCAAACATGAAACATAACACAAGTAAAATATAAATGTATTAAATAAATCATCACACCG